TTATTATAAAAGTCATAAATTATACAATCTATATAATATTAAAAGAAAGATTTAAAAGAAAAAGTTAACTTTAAGAGTGCTTTCTCCCATTATTACACATACGTAATTTTGATTCTACAAATTGTTTTTGAAGTTGATATAAAGACTATATACCTTTGTTTCTCTCTCTCCCTCTCTTTCTCTTTCTCTTGAATTCCATCACGAAATACAGATTATCTACATTGGGCGATAAAAGTCTCTTCGGAACAAACCTAGTTTCTTGGATGGAGGGATTGAACGGAGTGAATGGGCGATTAATGTTACGAGCGACGCGAATGAAAGCCGTTGTCAAGCCATAGGGCTGCAAAGAGGCGAGTCATTCAAATGATACTAATAGAGCTGACAACGACTCCATGTGTTGTCCACTAAACTATTATAACTATTATTAATTGATATCAATTTCGGTGAAGTCTTTATTGAATCAGCGGAGAAAATATATTACTTACATATTAATAAAAATGTTATAAAGGCATTTAATATATGTATAATAATGCCTTTTCTAATTGTTGTTTCTCTTTTAATCATTATAATAATATTATTATATGTATATTTATTTATTGCAATGAACTTTCCGGTAGACCTGATATATATAATTTTTATTTAATGATTATTTTTTCACAAAATATAATGTAAGACATATATAAAATACGAAGTATACATTCATGCAGATATTTTCGTGTCAAAAGTAATTATTTCGTGGTAAGAAAGTTTCAGAGATTTGCGTTTCTCCGTATAACGAATTATGGAGTGCACGCTGATGAATTCTCTCTATCCTCCCTATCTAACAGTTTAGCTCTTCTCTTTGCGCGGAACGGTTCCACATCGATTCGCATCTGCTGGTCTTCAGCAGATTCAAAGAGCCCACTCATGGAACTAATGAGCCCGCGAAGCGATTTGCGGCGCGAATCTCTTACTACGCGTTTCTATTAGTTTCTAGTGATAGAAAGGAAACAAGGAAAGGCCTCATAAAATCGACAGAGGAGTTTAGCTTGAAATAAGTAATGATGCAGTTTCCGCAACAGTACGCGAGAAATTAATCGCATTATCAGTACAATAATTAATCTATTAACCTGTCCATTATACCGACTAATTGTGAGAGATTTTTTTTAAGATTGTATTTATTTTTCTTGACAGTTGCTTGACATAGCAAAAATAAAATTTAAAAGATCATAAAAAACTTACATAATAAATGAATAGTCTTGATTTCTTTATTTAGATACGACAGAAAGATATTTGGAAATAAATTGTAAATAAATATCTTCTCTTATTCCTTTAAAAAAAAGTCTTAAATTAATACTAGAATTCTTTTATTAAATTATTTGAATTTTTACCGTTTGTATGCAAAAATCTCATTTTATTTTTCGCCCGCGAAATTATGTAACGTAAATGAAGTAATAGAATATGATAAACTTCTAAATAAGAGATTTATGAATACATTGTTATATTTTTAAAGGTATTATACGACTTTCTAAAGCAATCTCTTATTTTAATTGTCACGAACAAAATTTACAATTTACGATATATCTTTGAGCAGGACATGATTACCGTTTTCCCGTGCAACTAATAGACACATGCGACACTCATAAAGCGTGCACTGCGGCAGGGAATGGTATTTCCGTTATTACGATCTATAAATTAACATTCGTATCGTTTGCTTATGATGTTTCCGGGGAATATTCATTTATTTAATAAACTTGTACTGAAAAATCATGAAAACTTGAAAAACTCGTTCAATATAGAATAGTTGTCATTAATAGTTGTATATATGTATATGTTTAGTATTATAATACTAAATATGATATAATCAAGATAGAGAGATTAATATGTTATTTAAATTATTTACATTAAATAAATTTTTATATATAAGCATATAACTCTTACAATTTAAAATATTTTTATAATAAACTGAAATATATCATATAAAATATAAGATATGAAAAAAAGAGCGAGAAAAAATAGTATCCGCATCTATCTGTGTGGCACTTAATTACTTTCTTAAGACGATTAGCGGAAGAATAAAGAAGGAGGGGGGTATAATGGTACAATATCAGTGGCTATTTGTAGAAGCCGACCGACTGGCCGAGAACGACCTTCATTTTCTGCCGGCGGCAGAAGTCGAGAAACGGCTCCCGGTTTCTCCTACGAAGCCCTTCCTTGTCATCTTAGTTGTAGGCCTCGTATTCCTCTTTCGTCGGATTTTTCTCATCCGATCCTGCTCTTCGCGGCATCACCATTCACGGAGAAGAGCGAGATCGCCCTCGGAAGAATCGCGCGCAAACACAGAGTATCCTTGTGTCTCGTTCGATCGCAGTATATATGTTTCCTCACAAAGAGTATTTATTCAAAAGTTTGAAATATATTGATTTGGATTCTCATAATCAATATTTTTATGCTCTTATAAAATAGAATTTGTCACAAAACCGTATAAAAATATAAAAATGAAAATTATATAAATAAAAAATTATTTAAAAATTTTTACTGTATATGTAAAGTGCACTCGTAAAAAAAATTGTGAATTATAAATTTATAAGAATTACAGGTTTTTTCTACCTTAAATAATATGATACATAATGGCAATATTCTCAGTAATTTTGTATATAATTTTATACTATTATTTTTGCGTTGCTTGGTTACTGTTATATTTATTATTTAATATAAATAAAAGTGCATAAAAAGAACAAACTACGTTTACGTACGTGAAACTTTCTGTTTGCGAAATATTTAGAGCTGCAAATAATAGGCATTCATGAATAGCCAAGAAAGCGCGACGTTTATTCAGGGGAGCCAGATATTTTTCTCCTAATTGGATTTCCTCTTTGGAACGGGAAAATTCTCTTATCATTTGAAAAGAAGGCACCCAGACAATTCGAAAGTACAAGTTCAGACCTTCGACTACTTTATTGACATCTTGGCGACGAGAAGCAGAAAAAGGGATGACGTCGTGAAAAAGGGAAAAAGCTAATCTTCCTTTCTATAAAGTTTTCAATATTAAGCTATTGTAAATCTTTCAATATAAAAGCTATTTTATATATATATACTATTAATGAAAATATAAAAATTTAAAAAATATTTCCTTAATAATTAAATAAATAGAATTTCATTATTCCTAATGAATGTTTATTTATCCAATAAATATTTATTTGAGAATAAATCAAACATTTTATTTTATAAGCAAACACATGCATATTTTCATTCTTTCTGTCGACTCAATTTTTTTAAAAAAATTCCCTAAAAATTTCCTGATATTCCAGGTATTTTTATTCAAAATTAGAGATAAGAAGAATATTTAAAAAATATTTTAATGCAATTTTCTATAAAATAAAATTTTTTATTATGTGCGTTTTCTAATGCTTTTTAATCATACAAAGGAAAAACATAGAGCCAGTAAAGTTTCATATGCTAAATTCGCAAATGTATGGAAAAAAATTGATTTTCCAGATGCAAAAGAAATCCCTAAGAATTCTATAGGCTTTCTATGTTTTTCCAGTAAAGTACACACCCTGTTTTTTTCAGAATTGTATCTTGTTCAGATTTATCTTTCATTCTTTGCTTAGAATTTTTCAGCTCATCATTTATTCGACCGGAGAAATATATAAATATTATCCTGTATTTTTATTTTTTGTTTCTTTCGAATACGTCAACTCTTAAAAAACGTTCTTTTGTTCACTTGTTCAATAGATATCCTCTTTGTCGAATGTATAGACCTAACATTAAGTAGGTAGGGGCTTGCACACGTTTGGTGCCTACGTGCCTAGATGACTTTTGAGTGCACACACGCTCGCGCAGCCAGACACTCATACGCCGTGAGGATATGCAGGAGCCTCGTCCTGTCTGTGCAAATCGCACTCTACGCGTTCTCATGATATTCGCCGGCTGAACTATAGGCAGTCGCACCGCTAAAGTCCCGGTTGCAGGCGCGACTATAGTGTTTAACAACCGGCTTGCGAAGTTAGTTGATTCGCGTCCGCCAACCAGACGGGACTCAACTCGGAATCTCTTTGTCTCGCGTTCGCCTTCATCACCAAATGTGTACGTCTCGCTAAAGAAATTCGATTTGTTCACCATGAAAATTTATTTAAACGAAAGGCGCGAAATATAAAAAGGCACGTTTGTGTGTAGTGAAAACATAAGTTTTCAGAGCATTTTTCCGGCATTTTTCTTTCTTATCGTACATGCAAGTTTAAATTTGTAACGATGTGAGTCTTGGAGCATGTATCGTATTAGTGAAATATGAAGAATTTACTTTATTTGTACAGAAGAGGTGAGATTTCTAGGCAGGCGTATTTGGAACCGAGATGGATCTTTGTTTCATATTCTAGCGCTAAATATAGTCATCCGATAGATTGTGACAGGGTGCTTACTCCCTGGAAAGATATGGACAATTTGGAATTTCCAGGGATTTTTTTTGTACCTAGCAAAATCAGGGAATTCTTATGGAATTATATTGGGACTCGGAAAACTATTTTAAAAATTTTCTCTTTGATAATTTTTTGCTCTCTTATTGTAAGCATATTGATGATAAGCCAAATGCTTATTAATTGCTGATAAGCTAAATTATAAAAATTATAAAATTATGTTAAATTATTTAAAATATATATTCATCTATCTCTGTTTATACATTCAATGTCTAAACAAAATATGTGAAATACATATTTTTAATTGTAATCTTTAATAATAAAAAAATTTTAATGTTATGCATGTGAAAAATATTATATCTTATAAAAACTATTCAGTTTTTTTTTAGTACTACAAATCGAGCACTTAAATGGCTCTATGTTTTTTCTTCATATGAGTGAGAAGCATTAGAAACCGCATACAATAAAAAATTTGAGAAAATGTCACTAAAAGATCTTGAAAACATTCTCTTTACCTGGAATTTTGAACAAAAATATCTGAAAGATCAGTATCTTATAAAAACTATTCAGTTTTTTTTTTAGTACTACAAATCGAGCACTTAAATGGCTCTATGTTTTTTCTTCATATGAGTGAGAAGCATTAGAAACCGCATACAATAAAAAATTTGAGAAAATGTCACTAAAAGATCTTGAAAACATTCTCTTTACCTGGAATTTTGAACAAAAATATCTGAAAGATCAGGACATTTTCAGGAAATTTTTTCACTAGGTTTATATAGACACCTTGAAAATAAACGAGATAAATTTTCTCTTAAAATAGAGAGAGACGGGGAAAAACCACACACACATGATGTGGTAGTTAAAGTGTGTTAGTAAAAGTGAAATTGTTGGGCAGAAGGCAAGTATCGCGGACAGTCACGCTTAGCCGTTAAATACGCGGCGATATGCGCCTTTGTCTGCCTCTCGCGCGCTTCTATAAATAATTCCGCCGATCGTTGAAACGGTGCGGAGGCGCCGCACATCTCGTTGTCGGTTTCGTGGAGAGAATACTCTTCGCGGAGTTTGGATTGACGTCTCATCCGCTACGGAATCCTCGATCTAAGTCGAGATCACTCGACTAAAGGATCTATAGAGAACGTGATTGATTAAAATCGACAGCTGATGACATTACGTACGTGCTAATCTCAATTTCGCGCACAGTGATATATTCTGAAGTGTCTGGGTTTCTCGTTCTCGAGAGGAATCGTGATGACTCAAATACTCGAGAGTACTCGGAAGAATATTACGAATGAATCACCTCTGTAAAGTTGGTCCCTCTTTCTTTAAATTTGAAAAAGATAATTAAAGTTTTAGGTGCTCTCTGCGAACAGTTCGTAGAGTTCTCAATCGATTTTAAAAAGAGTTCTTTTATTTAAAGCAATGAAAATTCCGTTTGAAAAACTGTAAGACTAACTTCACAACACTCTTCCTCTCATTATGTAAAAAATGCAATTTTATTTAGAGTTCAAGGATTTCATAAATAATTTCAAACTTCTTGACAAAAGTCTTTTTAAAACCGATTAAGAATTCTAGAACTCTTCGGAAAGCACCTAGAATTTTAATAATTTTTTTTCGTATTTAAAAAAGTGGGATCAAATTTATTCAGAGCTGAATGAATCGGCTAGTCTCACGTCATGAATCGACAGTGAAACGTTCGACGAGCGTACAAGTCCAGCTATCGAATAAATGCTAAATGACATTTCGTCGCGGGATACATTTTCGATCGAACTCGTAAATTTGATTGCAGGCGATTGTGTGTAAATCGCGCAATTTAAAATACATATATATATTTTTGATAGATCTATAAATAAAATTATATCTTTCCTTTTTTTATGAGTTTTAGAACAAGTTAATTCATTTTTTACTTTGTTTTTTTTTTGCTTTGAATGTGCAAAAGGATAAAAAAAATAAAATAAAAATTTAAATAAATAAAAATAAATGTTAAAAAGTCAATATCATATAAAAAAAAAACAAAAATTAAAATTAATTATTATTGGAAAAATATAAATTTTGAAACCAATAATTTATTTATTCACTAATTTTATCTATTGATAGAAGTATTAAAGATATGAGAAGAGTATTAAATTAAAACTAACGCAAAGTAAAAATTCAAATATATGTAGATTAAAATAGAACGAGCAAGAATTTTTTGAAAATTTATTTGTTTCCGGAATTTTAAAGCGATCATTTTTATGATTGAATAGAATCGTATCTTTTTTTACTTTTTAAAGTATCGATCTCAATTCGAATACCTCGAAAGTTACACCTTGGATGACCCAGAGTCTTGCGCGATCGAGCATGAAATCAATTCATGGCGAAGTCGAGGAGCCGGTTAACCGATATATCCGAGAAGCCGAAGAAATATACTCGTCGTCGAATTAAATTGAGTAAAAGGTTTTATCACAGCTTTTTCAGTATACTACTTTCAGTAGTACATATCTCAATACAATTTTATTACGCGATTTTTAGAGAAGAGAGAATATGTATTTATGATAGAAATAAGTTATGACACTATATGCAAAAGAGCTAATAGAACCTTGAAATTGAGAATGAGGAGACATATCCTTTTTCATAAATGTATCTATGAAAGCGCGATACACCAAATTATGATGCACAATGTAATATTAATTGTTACTTAAATATATTTTAATATTTTTATATAAAAAATATATTATATACAATATAAATAGTATCATAACATTTTAATTATTTTTTTTTTTAAGGTTGCAATTTTTTTCAATTCTGTCTTGTTATTATAAAATTGCTAAAAATTTCTTGTGATTTAAATATTGTTGTCTAAAAATCTATGAAACTCTATACACATATAGCATATTTTTAAAGAAAACATACTCTCGTTTCTTTCTTAAGCTGATATTTATATATTGACGGAACTTCTTATTAAGTTTACAGTTTACAATAATGACTCGTGAGAAAAGCACGCAGACTCGCAAAATAGATTCATTCTCTGAACATCTTTATGCTCTTAACCGGCTCCATCGGTATCTATTGTGTCCCTGCTCTGTTTACCCTACATTCCTTCGTTACGGGATTAATCGGAGTCAATGACGCGCGAGTCGTCGAAGTTAACAGCGAGTCACTTTATCAAGTATAATAGACAACCGAGGATGACCTAGTCGTGATCGGTAATTTTATTGGAAGTAACGTGGTCTTTAATTTTATAGAGAACACGCGTGTATCATTTAACAGTTGCGTGAACAATTTCGGACATTCATATATATGTTTTTTTTTGTTTTTTTTTTGAGAAAACAAGGTTTGGCAAGGTGGAGTAGAGTCTCGCTTCAACGAGGATGTGAACATAGCGCGATTAAATATAATGAGCCGTGTGATGCAAACCGGAAAAGAATAAATAAACGATGGACGCTCCTCAGCATCGAGTTCTTCGTCGCGAAGAGGATGTATAAATTACCGTTTTTGAAGTACATGCCAAGAGAAAAGAAAATTGACTAAATAACGAGAGTAGTTTCTTATCCTTGCAACTTCCAGTATATATTCTGTACAATATAATTGTATGTGTTTGTGTGTGCTAGTCGATAAACTGCTCTTCTCCTTGATGATTTTCGGAAGTTGAAAAAAATATCCGACTACTATCGAGATACACATATACATACACATACGTATATATCTATATTTTTCATATAATTTATATTAATCTAAAATTATTTAAAAAAAAATTATTCTTTGAAAAAAACATTTTATTTGCAGTAAATCTTTAGGAAAATATAAAAGACAAATTGTCATTTATTAGGGCAATCAGAACATTGAAGAAGCATTATCTGACACCATGTCATTAATTCGATTAATAGAATATATCGATGAAGTTTGATCGAGAATTTCGGGAACACCCTATATACGAATTCTAAATTTAGGCGAAAAAATTTCTACCGCATTCAACGTTGCTCCTTGCGACTTCGTTTTTGCTCAATATTCGCGAAATAAACCTAATTGTAAATCGACATCTTAGGTTTTTCTGAAATCAAAAGGCTCTCGTGTTACAATGGCCTGCGATCTCCAAATCACGCGTGTGAGAATATATGTGTGATAGGGTGAAACAGCGTAGGAAGGATGCTCATCACCAAGTACACCACGATCCTACTGCGGTCCACCAATCAGCACATTATCAGGTGAGATTCGTTCTCTCGATCTCATTTTTTGAATATTTATCATGTAGCATATCTAATATATAATATAGATATACAATTTTTATTTTGGCTATGCGCTAAATTGAGAAAAGACAATTTGTAGAACACCGATTTCGCCCTATTTATATAATTTATTTTATTTACTATTTATTATTATATAATGTATTTTATTTACTTTAGTATTACTTATTTACTCCTTGATTCTCTTCATCAGAATTTCGCTTCGCAAAAGCGACACTATCGCCGACCAATAATTATGTTTTATAATTAATAAGAACATTTAATGATACTAAGACTGTAATTGGGAGGTGGATTTAATTTCAACCATTAATTCCCGGCATAATCGAGTTCCCAGGAACGGGTTTCTTCGTCTTCGAAACGGGAGCGCTTAGTATTCGGGAATCGTTCGGTGCATATTTAAACGGGCGAGTTAAGGAAGTCGTTGCACCCATTTTGAAATATTATTAAATTTGCTGAGTGAAAATATCGATTCAGGGGATGGAAAGACATTGTTGATTTTTGTTATCTTTTGAAAATCGCAAAATTTCTCAAATTACCGTGACTATAGATATATGCGCATTGTTGTTTTTGTAATAGTTTTCGCGAAATGTTGTCTTGAACTTTCGAATGTGATTACTTTATTTCTATTATATTTTCAAGATAAAAAAAAATTAAAATAAAGATATACTTTAATTTATATAAA